TAGCATCCGGAAGTTCCTCAGGCACACGTACATGTTTAGAATCCAAAAGTTCCTTTGGTGCATGTCCATGTTGAGACTCTAGGATCTGGAAGTTCCTCAGGTGTCCATGTTTAGGCCCCCRGGGTCCGGAAGTTCCTCAGGTGCGTGTCCATRTTTAGGCTCTAGGATCCGGAATTTCCTCAGTCCTCCATGTTTAGGCTGTAGCATCCGGAAGTTCCTCAGGTGTACACCCATGTTTAAGTTAAATCAGATTTTTTTAAGGAAGGTGAGGATGATTTGCAATTATAGGACCGAGGTGCATATTTCAGTGGCCAACATTTACTTACTGTCTATACTGCAACTGTTAGCAAGTGACAATAACTGGTCCCTTTAKGTACTGTGACTCTGGATAAATTGTGATACTTTCAGTCATTCCATTCAGCAAAAAAAAGTCAAAGAAGRTTGACTTTTGCTGGTTTCATATATGTATTAAGTCTTTATCTTTTTATGTATCTTTTCAGGGGTAATAATTTACCAGAACATCTTCAACACAAAGAAAAGTTGAGCCCTTCACAAATAGAAGGTAATGAGAATCATCCTAGAAATTAAAGGATAAACAACAGGCTCTTAATATATCTGATCCTTTCTTCTTTAATAGAGATATGAGATTTGAAGGGCTGTCTACACTACCCCATCACTAAGACAGAAAAAATTAAATTAAAAAACTTTTTGTAGGGGATGGGAATATAGCTCAATTGTAGAGTACTTGCCTAGCTTTTTGTGGGATTGGAGAGGAACTGCTTTCAAATTGGCATCTCTGTAGAATTTAAAAATTCCTGACCAAATATTTTTATTCAAAGGAGAACTTGTGGGGAGTGGAAAAGAACAAATTCAAGGTCAAATGTAAATCAAGCTATGGAAAAATATAARCACAGCTGAAGTTCCAAGGATTTCTCAGAGAAGAATTATAATAATAAAATGAGCTACAGTGTCTATAATTCATTCATCCAAACAACAAATACCTATTTTAAACCAACAATGTCCAGGCATGAGAAACACAATAAAATAAGTTAGACATGGTCCCTGCCTTAATAGAAAGTRTAACAGGGAAGACCAATGGTTAAACCATGAATTTGTTGAATGAATCATTTAAAGTGCAATATGATATGTGTTGTGATATGGAAGTATACAGTCTTATAGAAGCATAAAAGGAAGTGTCCTGACTTGGTCTCATGAAGGGAAGGGGAGTCCCAGAGAAAGCTGAATGGTAAGTAGGAATAAATTGGGCAAAGAACAGAGAGAGGAGCATTTCAGGTAGAAAGAACAGATCTATAAATGCCCAGAGAAAAGGGAGAGCATTTTACAGTAGAAAAGCTAGAAGAATTTCAGCTATTTGGGAGGCTTGGGCAGGAAGATTGTAAATTCAAGGCCAGTCTTAGCAACTTAGTGATACCCTGTCTCAAAAAATTTTTAAAAAGCTGGGGTTATAGCTCAATGATAGAGTATCACTGTGTTCAATCCCCAGTACCACAAAAGATAAAATAACAACTAAAAGTCAAGCATGGCTGACTTTGGGTTTGGGGAAAGATAATGCTTCACCCCTCTAAATTTGGAAACAATTGAAAAATTGACCCAGGAGTCAGAAGCAATCAAAAAATCACCTCTAGCTGGGCGTGGTGTCACATGCCTATAATCCCAGCAATTTGGGAGGCTGAAGTAGGAGTATTGCTAGTTCAAAGCCAGCCTCAGCAATTTAGCGAGTCCCTGAGCAATTTAGCAAGACCCTGTTTCTAAATAAAATACAAAAAGGGGCTGGAGATGTGGCTCAGTGGTTAAGTACCCCTGAGTACCGAAAAAAATCACCTCTAACTGGGTGTGGTGGTGCATRCCTGTAATCCCAGCGACTTGGGAAGCTGAGGCAGGAAGATTGCAAGTTCAAAAACAATCTCAGCTAAAGTTCTTTAATGTTGAAAAAAAACAGTCTCAGCAATTTAGTGAGGTCCTGAGCAACTCAGCGAGACCCTCTCTCTAAATAAAATATAAAAACAGGCTGGGGATGTAGCTCAGTGGTTAAGAAAGCATCCTTGGGTTCTGTCTCTAGTACCAAAAAAATTTTTTTTAAATCACCTTTATTGCTGAGAAAGCTGGTTTGGAAAATGAAGGACTGTCAATATCAGATTTGCATTTCTGCATGTTAATTGTAATACTAATAAATTTATGATTACTGTAGTGTCATTCCTCACAGCTTTTCTGAGAAGTAGATGTATTCATTCTACATGCATTTATTGAATACCTCAAAGTCCCCAAAATCTCCCATCCTTGCTCTCAAATGATATCCTTACTTCCTACTTCTCTGCAGAAAACTGAAGCAATCAGAAAAAAATTTTCACTCTCACCTTCATATCTACTTCCCTACCAGCATCTGTACCCACATACTCTACTTTCCAAAACAACTAGAGCAACATAACTAAACAATATAGAATTAGATTATAACTCAAAGAATAAAATAAACATCCATGAGTCCATAATGATAAAAATAAATGATTGAGGGGCTGAGGCTGCGGCTCAGAGGAAGAGCGCTCACCTAGCACACATGGGGCACTGGGTTCAATCCTCAGCACCACATAAAAATAAAATAAAGGTATTGTGTCCATCTATAACTAAAAAAATACATATTTAAAATAAATAAATAAATAAATAAATGATTGGATTTTAATACAAAGACGACACAAATGGCCAAGTCAGTTGTACTAAAGGGAGAAATGAGGTCACTATGTATTTTTAATACATTTTTAAGTTGTTGATAGCTATTTAATTTATTTATTTATTTATTTATTTATTTATATGCAGTGCTGAGGATAAAACCCAGTGCCTCACACATGCTAGGCAAACACCCTACCATTGAGCCACAACCCTAGCCCCCACAATGTATTTTTAAGGAGAAGTAACAGTGTATTTGTATGATAATAGGAATATCTATTATAATAGTGAAAATTTGCTGTTGGAGACAGGGACCTTTTAGAGGGTTATATCTGTGAATATGAGAGAGGGGATAAATTATAATCTACAATAGAGGTAACTGGATCTAGATAAAAGTATAAATTTCAGGTCTAGGGATGTAGCTCAGTGATAGATCACTTTCCTACTATGTGTGAGGTCCTGAGTTTAATTCCCAATTACAAAAAAAAAAAAAGTATAAAGTTCATTTGTGGAATAGGGAAGAAATCAGAGTATTATTACTTATAAAGGTAGACAGGTAGAAAAGAAGGTAGGAAGGCCAGGCACAGTGGTGCACCCCTATAATCCCAGCAGCTCAGGAGGCTGAGGCAGGAGGATCACAAGTTCAAAGSCAGGCTCAGAACTTAGTGAGGCACTAAGCAACTCAGTAAGACCCTGTCTSTAAATAAAATATAAAAAAGGGATGGGGATATAACTCAGTGRTAAAGTGCTCCTGGTTCAATTCCCATTACCTAAAAGAAAGGAAAGGAAGGGAGAGAGAAAGGAAGGAAAAGAAGGTGGGAGTCTTGTCAAAATTCTATTTGTCTCTTTTTCTCAATCCCCRATCCAGCATTACTTTTTCTTTTTTTCATGGTATAGACCACCTTCTAAAATAGTATCTAATTTACCTACTTATTTTATTTATATGAGGACAAAAACGTTTGTGTATTTCATGCTGGAGTGTATCCTAAGCACTTAGAGCACAGTACCTGGCACACAGAAAGCATAAATATTTGCTAAATTGCGTGAATGCCTACAACATGATAAAGAGGCTGTGAGAAGATAGAGATTAGTCAGAAATGGTTTGATTCCAGCTCTAGAAAAGCTTACCTTTTGTCAAGGGAGATAGGTGTTATCTTTTCATACRGTTACAAGGTAAGTATCATTATCTTATAGGATTAATCACTTCTTGTACATAGAGATGCTGAGACATGAATGTATATGAAATGCATTCTATTCTGGTGCCATTTGGAATATACTTTGATCTGGATTTATTTCTTCATTCACTAATTTTAGAAAACACATACCTAATTTGGCTTCAATTGGTGCTTTGAGTATTTCTTTGAAAAACACTTTAAATATGTATAACACATACATATACATATTCAATTTGGGTCCAACTTCGTGTATTAGTTTTCTACTGCTACCATAACAAGTTATCACAAATTTCACAGCATAAAACAGCAGGTTGTAGAGGTCAGAAGTCCAGATAGGCTTGACTGGCTTCTCTCCTGCAGGTCTTAGAGGTTCCAAATTCAGGGGTGGAGACAGGCATGTTAGTACACACCTGTCATCACAGAGACTCCAGAGATTGAGGCAGAAACATGGAAAGTTTGAGGCTAGCCTGGGCAATTTAGTAAGACCTGTCTGAAAATAAAAAATAATAAGCAGCACCATGGTAGAGCACCCCTGGGTTCAATTGCCAGTATTGGAAGGAAGAAAGGAAGGAAAGCAGGGGAAGGAACAAGAAGGAAATAAACAAACTTAGGTGTTATCCAGCCTGGGCTCTTATTTGGGAGAATATCTTTTTTTTTTCTTTTACATTACTGGGAATCAAACCCAGGATCTCTGGCATGCTAGGCAAGCTCTCTACCACTGAGTTGCCTCCCCAGCCCTTATGTGGGGATTCTTATTTGGAAAGTCCAGAGAATCTGCTTCCAATCTCATTCAGATTTGTGGCATAACTGAGTTCTTTGCAGTTGCATAGCTGAGGTCCCAGTTTTCTTGCTGCCAGTCAACCAGGAGACTCAGCCCCTTAAGGCTACCTATGTTGTATACCATGTTGCTCCCCATAACCTATCTTCAAACAAGCAATGGTGGGRGAAATCTTCTCATGCCCTGAATTTCTTTTTCTGCCACATCTGTCTTGCTTCTAGCTCTATGATGAGTTTATATAATTAGATTGGGCCCAATATCTTTACTGAAAGGAAGGAAGG